TTAGTGATCCATGCGTTCATCGGTAACCTGTGGAGCAGGTCGCAGGGAAAGGAAAATGTCGCGGCATTCGTCGAGTATTCGTCGAGTGATGGTAGACTACAATCAAAAATTTCAACCACTACTTTAGTGACCTGATAGGAACCGATACAGAAGGTTGATAGTTGTGGTGGCCGAAATCTTAAAAAAGAAATTATACAGCCCCATAATTGAAACGGAAAACGAAATTTAATATGTACAGAACACACTCTTAAGTTCAGGTAGGTTGTTCACTATTGTAGGTGCATATTGTTTTTTTTTTAATATTCTTACGTTTAGCTTCTGTTAGTCTTGTGTGATTATTGCACAATTCATAGAACTATTATACCAATAAATATCTTAAATATTTATTAACCATGGTAGATATATGGTCTTGTAGTGGCCTCTATTCGTGGTCCATAGCAGAATGTTTCGAGCAGCACCGTCTAGAGACACTCATCATCAGCCTACTCCAGAAAGAGTGGAAAATAATGGTTCTACGAAGGCAGATAATGGTGAAGCATCAAGTTCAGTTGGAGATATTGAGATATTTTATTATTATGCTTGGACTGAGTTTAGTAAATGCTTTGAATTTACTTTATCCAGGCATAACTAGTCAGAAATGCTATATATACACACTCACTTACTCACTCATGCAAATCAGTCAGCCATGGCTAATGTTCTCTTCCTTCATCTGCATTCTGTTTTCCTCAAACCAGTTTCTGGGGTTGTCTAAACATTTCTGTATTTCATCTAGGTTTGCAGATGTGAGACATGGAATGGTTTTTCTTAATCTTCACAGCAGGTTCTATGTCTGCAGAAAGGGATTAAAAGAAAAGGTGCCTCAGAAGTGGCCTAGGTCATGAATGGGCTTCATAAAAAGCTTTTTTTTTCCCCCCACTTGGGTTAGCTCACCCAGTAAGACAAGTAGGCTACAGCCTGGACAATGAGAAATCAGAGTTTGATTGCCTGCAGGGGCAAGAGATTCTTCTCTTTGCCACAGCATCCAGGCTGTATCCAGTGGGTACTGGGGTGCAGCAGCCAAGACATGAAGCTGAGCTCAATAATGTGTGGACCCGTATTGCCACACTCCTGTACATCTGACGGCATAATGCATGATTAAGTAAAAGGACAAATTTTTTTACATGCGAAAATAAGGTTGAACTACTTTCAGTTGTTGAATCTTAACATTAGGTACACATGTGGAGCGGTGGCAATAACGAAGGGAATTATTCGTCTTAGGAAAATGTTACTGGATGCCCTTTGAGAATGATTTTTAATCTATTCTTCTTCTAAGTTGATTTCCATTTTGTTGTGCTCATGAATGCACAAAGAAATTTCCAGTCTCTGCTTTTCTCCAACAGTCTCTCCCTTTTTCAATTTCTTGTCAGCTCTTTCCTCTCAGTACCTGGCAGAATCACCACTTTCTTTATTGTGCCATATATCTGTCTTTTTCCCTTAAATCTAATGTTGCCCTTCTTGGTGTCCATGTTCTGTCCATCTATTGCTGCAGTTGTTTCTTGTGTAAACTTTTAACAGAGGGTCCCCAAAAAGAAGGAATGTGTAGGTGCTCCCGTATAGTTTTGTTGAGCAGGTGATGCTGATGAATCCTGAGTGGAGTGAGTCACAGGAAAGTAGGGGGATGCTTCAGGAAACACCAGCTTGTGCTGCTATCTTTGGGGATTTTCTTAGGTACGTCTATACCAGTCAGATTCAGATCAACCACCTGAGAGTTATGCCAATACTTGGCTTGGCCGATATATATAATGTTAAGGTGAGTGACTTGACTTTCTGACTTAATTCCTTTAGTTCCGAGTGGAACTTGTACTCCCCTGAAGTTTCTCCATCTTCTCCTCTGGTTTGCCAGTGCCTTAACCTGTCTCCAGGTCTTTCCCATCTTTGTTATTTCCTCTTCTGTTGTCCTTCTCCAAGTTTTCCTTGGTCGTCCTCTGCTTCTAGCACCTTGGGGGTTCCAGTCTAATGCATCCTTTTCTCTGGTGCCAGCTGGTTTCCTTGAAGGGTGCCAGATCCATTTAATTTGGATGTCAATTGGTTCTTGTTTTGTTATCTCCCACAGAGTTATTTGATATTGTGTCTGGCCATCTCATGTTTAGAATACGTCTTAAACGCCTGTTTACAAAGTTTTGTAGTTTGTTCATGCTTCTCTTTAATATTTCCCATGTTTCACAGGCATAAAGGAGAACGGATTTTATGTTAGTATAAAAATCCGTGATTTAGTTTTCTCTGAAAGATCTTTTCTTCTTTCATGCTTTATATAATTGTATAAAATCTATATTTGCTAATTCAGTATTTCAGCATCCTGTTGCACATCCTTAATCAAGCATCTATGTATTATGTCTGTCAGTAATGCAACTATCATTACAACATTCACCATTCAACACCAACGCGACATGTTTCGGCCACAGATGGCCATCCTCAGGTGTTTCATTGCGTCCAAACTGTTACACTGTTTTGATGTGCGCTATATTTGCTGTTTTTATTGTTTGGTTTATGTCTTGATCTGCTGCTCCATCTTGAGTTACTATGCTTCCAAGGTATATAAAACTCTCGTTAAGGTGAGTGATGTCCATTTTTATCTGAGGGCCAAATCATTTAATCACTGTTACAGTTAGTCAGGTGCTTGCTGAAGGAAATTTATATCTGTGGTGTTTGTTCATTTGTTTTTAATTTTGTTACTTAATGATGCTGTCACTATTGAGACTATATGGTTTCAGTGATAGGGTGATTAGTGAATTTTGTGCCGTTGGAATGAGAATTGGCAAGGGAAACTGGAGTACTCAAAGAATACCTCCTCCAGTGCCTCTTTGTCCACTGCTGGGCTGCTACAGTGGGAAGCTGGTGATTAACCTGAGCCGTGGCACAACCTTGGTTTACTGATGAACTAGATGATTGTCATTGTATGTTCTGTTTCAAGTTAGAGAGAAAGAGTGATCAGATATTTTTGACAAACTTTGCTTTGAAAACAACATTTTGTACAAATAGGAGTGGCATATTGCTAGCCAGTCAAGTTTTAATATCTTGTCACCGTAGCTGCCTATTTTGGAACTTTACAAGTTTTCGAGGTTAGGTAATTCTGATGAAGCTGTTTTCAACAGTTCTATGCTGTTATTTCAGCTGAATTTTTGTGCTAGTATATTATTGTTTTCCTCTGTTTATTTTTATCTGTAGCTTACATAACAGTGTTGTCAGTACTTCTTACAGTATAGCATTGAATAGTAAGATGATAATGAATAATGAATTTTGAAAGATGTGGAAGGAAGAAATAATATTCTGGCATTTGCATGGAAGGGCTGCAGAAAATGTCAGGATAGTTGTCATTCCTGAGGAGATTGAAACTGAACACCTCTTGAATATGTTACTGTATGTGGAAACTTGCTGAATGCTCTCTTGTAATAGTATAATTTAAAAGCAGTATTTTTTTTAAGTGGTAAACATGTTAACTGAGTGGCTGAAAGAGGAGTGCCGGAGGGAAGAAAGATGACTGCATCTGCAACAGAAGATTTGTGGAGTGGTGGAGCTAGAGTTCTTTGATGTTGATATGCAGTAGGCTGAAGCAATGAAATTTGACAAATAGAAATGGAAGTAACAGTGAATGTGATATCCTTTCCATCAGAATTGTGAACCAAATGTTTCCAAAATACTTTGGATTGCTCTGTAGGGCATACATTATATAAGTTAACAACAAGATACTTTAATTTCTTCAGTATTTTACTTTATTGCATGGGATTCTTGTGCTCTGTCAGTTAGCTGATAGCAAGATTGTGATGGCATTTTGCTTATAGCCAGTGTGCTAAGTGAAGCTGTGTAGGCTACCATTTATGGTGGAATCAGTTCACTGTTGACTTTAGCAGAGGTCAAACATTTTCGGACATCTGGTAGCCAGTATTCTGTTTTGGTTTACTGTGGCTCTCACCTCTGCTCAGTTCACAATATTCGTGTCTTCCTCTCCATGGAGGTGCATTCCTTTTGTGCTAATTCATACAAATCAGATAGGCTGTTTAAAAATTTACCCTTTAGTCACTACATGTTTTATCCCACTTGTGGCTCATCATCAAGTGGTGAAAATACATTTTCAGCAACAGTAAACCAACAGTAGCAAGCATTAATAAAATAAAACTTGTTTCTGTCAAAATTAAGTCACTAAATGAGAAGGATTCATCTCAAGGGTTAGTTAAGAATTGTTACTTTCTATTACACAGCTTAAAATTAAAGATTTTAATATTTTGACTTTGTGAAATGTAATTAGTTGTTTCATGTAGTTTTGTTGATGCTGTACGGTTCATGCCAATATTTGGCGGCAATAAATTCTTGTGTATAATTTGTTAGCAATCTGATTTCATCAACTGTAACCTCGTAAATGAAGCTGTGAGTGTATTCTTAGCTTTTCAGCAAGTAAGTGTCTCTGGTATGGTAAAGCTATACCTCTGTAACAGGCCATGGATGCCCCTAGGGTTGTGAGATGTCGAGGCTCACAGATGGCAGTGAGGCTGTCAGCCTCATGCACCGGCCGCCGTTTACCCCCCAGGAAGATTCCTGGTATTCATTTCTGTTAGAGGCTGAGTCGACTCCAGGGCCATAGCAGACTGGAAGGATTAGGTATATGGAAAAATCTGATGACCTCACTGGGTATGAAACCCATGACCTTCGGCTTGTAGTGTCTCAACAGACTATGCTGCCGTGTGTGTCAGTTGGAGTGTGGTGAGACCCTGAAGATGGAGGCAGTATGTTCCTCTGAAATGTTGGTATCCAATGAGACCATGGTATGACAGCCCAGGAAACCACAATCTGAACACTTTCTGCTCTGCTGTACCAGCAGGTATTTATTCTGGAAACAGATTGCTTCTTCTGTAAATGTGATCTAATTATTTTGTTATGCTCCAATTCTTTCAAGAGTTCATATGTGTGTAAGCGGTGCCAGAACATTCATGTGGAGAAATAGCATTTAAAGGAAGTAATTGAAATATTACAACTAAATACTAAATGTTTTAGAATATTTTGTTGAGGATATTTCTTGTAATTCTGTTGATACATACTGTAGAGACATGCCAAAACTAACATTTACTACATTTTTAAAACTCTGTATAGAACTGTTTGTGTAGTCAAATAATTCTGAACTAAATTTTCAATAAGTCACGTAATGACCAACACCATACTGAAAATCCCATGGATGGTGTTCATGATGACACTTGACACACACACACATTCTGCTTACTGTTGCTCTGCTCTGGACCTCTCTGGCCTGTGTCAGTCACCCCAAAATGCTTTTAGCCGAGGTTGTCTTCACCAACATTCCTATGAAGACAGTGGCTGGATCATTTAAGAGGAATATTGGGATGTCTGGTAGGTGGAAAAGAGTAACAACTCAAGGGACATAACAAATGGTGTTGAACCATATAACCTCAGTATAGCACATTCATGACACAGCTGAATTTTACTACACTAAGTGGACAACCAAGACTGTTATAAGTAAATTTATACAGCCTGAATTTTTCACAGGCTACATTTGATAAGTTTTGTAAATCTAGTTGTCCAAACTATGTGATTTAATTGGGAGTAAATTTTATTAAGGTCTTCAATCCCAGATTTGACTTCAGTTTGAATGGTTCTATTATGTACAAGTGTGACAAACTGTATTGACCTAATGACTATAGATGTAATTATGAAATGCATATTCACATGTAATGTATGGAGTTATATTGTAATTTGATAATAATTTAATACATTTTATTTAGGTCATTCAAAAAATGGTTGACACTCACTCCATAATTCTGGAAAGGTAACAGTGTCAAATGTGAGCTGATATATGTGGGAAGACATACTGTAGTGCTGCCTATGGCCACGAGATGACGTTGCTACTGTGCACAGGTCGAACAGTGCTGCGTCATTCATGGTGGTGTGCAGGTGCACTCGTGGACAACACTCAGACGTGTGTGGAGACATGCCAACAGTTGCTGCAACTGTATAGTGCGGATCCGGCGGAGTTCTTTGAGCGTCTAGTCACCGTCGATGAGTCATGGTTCTGGCACGAGACTCCAGAAAAGAAACGCCAATCCATGGAGTGGAAGCATGCTGGGAGCCCTCCTCCAAAGAAGTCACGAGTGTGACAAACTGTATTAGCCTAATGACTATAGATGTAAGTATGAAATGCATATTCACATGTAATGTACAGAGTTCTATTGTAATTTGATAATAATTTAATACATTTTATTTAGGTCGTTCAAAAAATGGTTGACACTCACTCCATAATTCCGGAAAAGTGGCAGTGTCAAATGCGAGCTGGTATATGTGGGAAGACATACTATAGTGCTGCCTATGGCCACGAGATGACGTTGCTACTGTGCACAGGTCGAACAGTGCTGCGTCATTCATGGTGGTGTGCAGGTGCACTCGTGGACAACACTCAGACGTGTGTGGAGACATGCCAACAGTTGCTGCAGCTGTATAGCGCAGGTCCGGTGGAGTTCTTTGAGTGTGTAGTTACTGTCGACGAGTCATGATTCTGGCACAAGACTCCAGAAAAGAAATGCCAATTCATGTAGTGGAAGCACACTGGGAGCCCTCCTCCCAAGAAGTCACGACTGGGACTATTTGTCCGGAAGCAAATGGCGACTGTGTTCTGGGATCGGGAGGGGATCCTTCTGTTGGATTGGCTGCCCCCCAATAGAACCATCGACAGTGATCGGTACTGCAATTCACTGCACCAACTCCGCAGACGTATTCAGCAATGCTGCCATGGAAAATGGGGGCACATTGTCCCCTAATATGACAATGCGCGGCCACTTGACAGCCGGCAGACCATTGCCACCCTGGGTGCTCTAAGGTACACCATGCTGCCTTATCCACCATACTTGCCTGATCTTGCCCCTAGCAACTATGCTCTATTCGATGCAATGAAAGATGTCATGCAGGGTAAGATGTTCACCTCCAGCGACAAGTTTCAGGCAGTTGTCCAGCAGTGGCACCAGGATACCCCCAAACAGTGGTTTGCTATGCAAATACGGAAACTGCCGGAGCGATGGCAAAGGTGCATGGACATTGATGGGGAATACCTGTAATATAATCTGTATGTATTTTGTTCCAGTAAATGGTTACTGCGAAGAAAAAACATTTAGTGTCGATCATTTTTGAACACCCCTACAACAAAATTTGTGAAAAAAATTTAATTTTCTTTGGCTGGTAGATACAAATTGTACCATCTTTCTCAATTACCCTGGCTGCTAGGCCACATCACCAACTTCTTTTATGGGCCACATTTTGGTCAGTGTACTTATGGTTTACTTAAGAACTGCTTCAGTATCTTGAAACGAAGTGCCTAACTCATGGCTCCAATTTATATACAGGGAAAATAAAGGGTATATAAGAAATACATGCCATTCATTCAATTTAATAACAGGAAATGAATGTTCACATATGTTGAATTAAATAATACTTAATTAAAAACGTAATGTGCCATGAAAGTGTACCTTTACCATTCTTGACCTTGGCCCTGTATGGAGGTAAGTGGTTGCATCATACCCAAGGACAGAGCTGGTACCCACTGAAGAGGTGGCTGGGTGAGCCCCAGAGCCAGTCTGGACACTGTCGAGTACAGAAAAATCTCTTGCCTTTCCAGGAATCAGACCCTGGCCAGTCAGCGCATAGCCCAGTGCTATATTGATTGGGCTTTCCCAGCTTTCCCATCATTTGGTTAAGAGTTTTAATTTTTGAAACGCACAGTATCAATATCTGAATGCCACTCAAATTGCTTCACTCTCATGGCTCACCTAACATTCAGAACTTCATAGACAATTTCACCAAAATTAGATGAACCTTATATAAAATAGACTTTGATATGACTGTAAACTGAAACTGCCCAATTGCTGTCTGATAGTTCAGGCCCTAATGCTAGGTCACAGAGGGACAGACATGACCTTCACATAGGACTTTTTTGTTCTCTAAAGAATACTGATTTAAAAACAGTACAGTAAATAAGGGATTATGCTGATGACTTATGTGCTTTACCTGTATTACTGTCATGGCTGACATTTTCATTACAAAAGTAAGTCATTTTATTACAATCAAATTTATCCTTGTAAGATTTGAGGCTTTCACGGCGGTGACTATGAAGAAAGCAGTCTTCTGGGATTTGGCACCGTACCGTTTCTCACGGTGTTGTCGCTTGCAGATTTCTTAAACTTTTTCTTCAACCCTGAAGATGGGGGCGATACGTTCCTCCGCAACGTCGGTTAACACCACATATACACGGTGCCAAATCCCAGAAGACTGCTTTCTTCAAATTTATCCTTGCCTAAGTGTGCCTAACTGTGTTCTAGTGTAAGGAAAAAAGGTGAAGCTGTCCTTCTAAGAGGCCATGAAGGCCCATAGGGGTGTGAAAGGTTGAGGCTGGAAGGATTAGATCAATTGAAAAAAATCCACCTCATTGTGACTTGAACCCGCGATCTTCCGGTTCGTAGCATAGTGCCTCAACCAGCTACTGGGGTTATTTTCATTAAGTGTGTCGTAACTTAAATTCGTTCATTTGAATATATCACAGAAAATTAAATAGTTGTGGGTTCATGTAGTTTATGTGCCATTACATTTGTTCTACAGTCATGTAAAGTTGTTTGTATTCCAGACGTGATCTTCAAAACAACCTGTAACTTCTTTTTTAATTTGCTTAGTGTGGGGAGGGGGGTGGAGTCCAACTGGGTTCCCTCGTCACAGCGGCCACTGATGGGCCTATTGTACCTGCCCCAGGTGATTATGATTATGCATAATATGGTGGAATGAAAATTGGCAGAGGAAATCGAAGTACTAGAAGAAAACCTGCCCCAGTGCCACTTTGTCCACCACAAATCCCACTTGACCAGACCCGGGATCAAACCTGGGTCACCACTGTGGGAAGCCAGCGACTATGAGCTAGCACTGGAAATGGGGGATGTGCTGGAACTTAACACTTTCAAGTTATACAATGAATAAAAGCAAGACAAAAGTCTATCTTAACCCCCTGCTCCTCGTATGCAGTGGGATGTAGCAAAGTACAACCAGGCTGATGCACTCACATACTGCGATTTTAACTAGAATGGGCCAAGGATTATTTTATCAGCAAACTGATGCAATATTAAGATCGCTGTCTTCTGGGATGTGGTTCCTTGTAGATCTTGTGTGAACGAACGATTTGGAGGAACATACCGCCTCCATCTTCAGGGTACAAAATATCTGCGAGCAAGGAACTAGCATCAGGTGGTTCACACAATATCTACACAGCACCACATCCCAGAAGATGGTGTTCTTCAATATATGTAGCTGTGTGAAGAAACATGAAACTTGCTGACTCTAAGCTGGTCTGATTACAGCAATCCTCATATGAAATTTCTTTTTGGGTAACATGTACCCACACGTGATTTCTATTACGTATAGCTAAAGTGACACAATGAATTCAGTACTGGTTTTTGTATCTTCCAATGTGTATTTTCTCAGTTAGTTACTTGGTCACTGCTTGCTCCATTTGAGGAGAGGTTGAATCTCAAGAAATTAATGAGGTAGAAGGTAAAGAGCAGTATCGTGTTGAAATCTGATATAGGTTCACTGCCTTGGAAAACTTGGAAACTGAGGTGGATGTCAATAAAGCTTGGGAAACTATTAGAGAGAATATTAAAATTTCTGACAAAGAGAGTCTAGGTTATTATGAACTGAAGAAGCATGGTTTCATGAAGGATGCTCAAAATTACTAGACCAAAGAAAATAAGCCAAATTGCAATGGTTACAGGATCCAAGCAAAATAAATAGGGATAATCTGAACAATATAAGACGTGAAACCAGCAGGCATTTCAGGAACAAAAAGAGGGAATATCTGACAGACAAAATTGATGCGCTTGCAAGGAACAGTAAGAACAAGAACATTAGAGACCTGTATAGAGGAATAAATTACTTTAAGAAGGGTTACCAGCCTAGCAGTAACTTAGTGAAGGATGAGAATGGTGATCTGCTTGCAGATTCCCACAACATTTTGAACAGATGGAAGAACTACTTCTTTCAGTTATTAAATGTACATAGAGTCAGTGATGTTAGGCAGATAGAAATGCATACAGCTGAGTGGTTAATACCTGATCCCAGCCCTTTTGAGGTTGAAATTGCTATTGCAAAATTGAAAAGGTATAAATCGCCAGGTAGTGATCAAATTCCGACAGAACTTATTCAAGCAGGAGGCGAAATATTATGTTCTAAGAGACAGAAGCTAATTTGGGATAAGGAAAAATTGCCTGATCAGTGGAAAGAGTATTATTGTACCAGTTGACAAGAAGGGTGATAAAACTGACTGTAGTAATTATCGGGGGATATCACTGCTATCAACTTCATATAAAATTTTATCCAATATNGAAGCTAATTATTCCTATTTGGCATAAGGAAAAATTGCCTGATCAGTAGAAAGAGTCTATTATTGTACCAGTTGACAAGAAGGGTGATAAAACTGATTGTAGTAATTATCGGGGGATATCACTGCTATCAACTTCATATAAAATTTTATCCAATATTCTCTCAAGGTTAAGTCCATATATAGATGAAATGGGAACATCAGTGTGGGTTTCAATTTTTGCATTCGACAGATACTGTAGAAGAAATGGGAGTACAATGAGACAGTACATCAGCTATTTGTTGACTTCGAGAAAGTCTATGATTCAGTTAGGAGGGAAGTATTATGCAATATTCTGATAGAGTTTGGGGTTCTCATGCAACTAGTTAGGCTGATTAAAATGTGTTTAAATGAAACGTATGGAAAAGTTCGTGTAGGTAAACATTTGTCTGATGATTTTCCTGTCCAAAATGGTATAAAACAAGATGCTTTATTGCCACTCCTTTTCTACTTTGCTTTAGAATATGCCATTAGGAAGGTCCAGGAAAACCAGGTGGGGCTGAAATTAAATGGGACACATCAGTTGTTGCTCTGTGCCTATATGAATATACTGGGTGATAGTGTAGATACCATAAAGAAAAACACACAAACCTTAAATGATGCAAGTAATGAGGTTGGTCTAGAAGTAAACGCAGAGAAAACTAAGTATATGTTCCTGTCTCATCACCAAAATACAGGGCAAAATCATGACATAAAGATAGGAAACAGATGTTTTGAAAATGTGGCACAGTTCAGATATTTGGGAACAATGATAACAAATAAAACCCTGATTCAGGAGGAAATTATGAGGATTGAACTTGGGTAATTTTTTGCTAACATTCAGTCCAGAACCTTTGGTCTTCTTGTCTGCTGTCCAAAAACATAAAAATTAGATTATATAAAAACTGTAATTTTGCCTGTGGTTCTGTATGGGCATGAAACTTGTTCTGTGATGTTAAGGGAGGAACATAGACTGAGGGTGTTTGAGAACAGGGTGTTGAGATTATTTGGACCGAAGAGGGATGAAGTGACAGGAGGGTGGAGAAAGCTGCATAATGTGAGGCTTCATAACTTGTACTCTTCTCCAAGTGTAATTATAATGATCAAGTCAAGGAGGATTAGGTAGGCAGGGCGTGTAGCACGAATGGGGGAGAAGAGGAATGCATATAGGACAGTGGTTCTCAAACTTTTTACCTCTGAGCCCCCCCTGACAAGAGAAAATACTCTCAGGCCCCTAGCCTGTTTTTTTATCAAAATAGAAGTCATGGTATGTTTGACGTTTCGTTCAGTTTATTTTGTGTTTTTATACATACTATTTAGCAGTTTTCTTACTCAAAATTAAAGTATCACAATAATAGGCCTACAATAAAAATTAGTTTTAACCAAAATATGTATTGAAATGAAATGATATTTAACTAACAAGTATGTAATTTAAACATTTAAATGTCAAAGTTCAATGTGATGGATGGGCCCACTTTTGAGAACAAAGTTTATCAAAACGTGGTGTAATATCAGAAATGGCCACTCTATACTTTGACTTTATAGCTGCCAAAGCAGAAAAACCTGTCTCGCATAAGTAAGTTGTTGCAAAAGGAATCAGTATCTTCAATGCTTTTGGGCTCAAAGTTGGGAATTCCTTGCCAATATGTATCCAGAACTCCAACAAAGACAATTCCTTAAATTTACTTTTTATTGAAGTATCACTATTCAGGTCGATGAGTTCTTTC